ACCTCGACGAGAAGCTGGAATGGGAGAAAGAGTAAGGCTCTTCGTAAACTATGCACGTCTTTTTTTTTCGCTCTTTTTTTTATCGTTGATGTTTTGAATTTGTTTGGGTGGAAACTCGGGGGAGAGGTCGAGACGAGAGTGCCCAAGGGCTCGTAGAGCCAACTCCGACTGGAATTATTAGTGCCAAGCAAGCTGCCTTTGTGTTCTAAACCTTCGAACGCGTTGAAGCAAGAACGCCGCACGTCAGACACCTGCATTCTCAGCTCCAACGCGTTCGAACAGTCAGTGTAGTAGCAGGCATGTAGCTGTAAGTCTACCAACAATACATTCCGACAACAGCTCGGTGATCTGACTTCCTCTTCCTCCGTTTTTTAATCAAAGTACCTTTCTTTCTTTTTTTTTTATTTCTTTTTTACATTTTGGCAAACATTCTAGAATTTATAACGCGCTTTTTTTTCACTAGTTTAGAGCGCCCTGTTCGGGATCTCGTGTTGTGAACAATGATAACCAGGTTGACGGAGCTACGGAGATCCCCGCGGTTTCCAAATTATGCCTAACGTCAGACATTGTGGGAGCGAATTTTGTTCATCTGCTGTACAAAGAAAACTAAAAGCGGGCAATTTTGCCTCACATTTCTGTATAATTATAGGTCTTGGGCAGTGTTGGACAAAATACTCGATAAAAATATTTAAGCTAAGTTGCTGAATACCTGTTTCGTAAAGTATTTAAAATACTACTCAAGTTACTTTCGCTGTAATGTATCTTGAGTTGACTACAAATATTTAGAAGTGTAATTCAACTACTTTTGAAGATATTTCCGCATTGCGTGATCTGTATCGACGTCAGTAGCAACGACAATTATACAGCGGTGCAAATCTGGTTTACCATAATGGTTTATTAGCACGCAACAACATAAAACAAAGAAAAAATATCGTAGATCTATTTTATGCAGTCCAGCTTTAAGGGGCATAATATTGTAACGAATGACAAATGATGAGGTGGCGAATAACTGAAAAAAAAAAACGTTTAACGGGGCGAACGTGTGCCAAAACAAATTAGGAAAATGCTAGTGTCGCAGGTGTCAATGGCGGTGAAACAGCATGATCAAGCGCTGGGGCGAGACTAACTCCGGATCGCCACGCGGAGCACCTTTTGTACGCGCGTGGTTTTCTGAAAAATTCGGCGTAGAAGGTCCGGCGCGTAGAACATTCGGAACTCGATGAAACGACAAGGTTCTCGAACATACGAGAATGTCAAGTTGAAAGAATAATAAAAGAGGAGCCCGCTGCCTGGAATCGAACACGGACCCTCCGCGCGAAAGCCAAACGCGGTAAACATTCAGCCACGCGTTTCTTTTTTTTTTTTTTGATTTGGTTGCGTGCTTGTTTGGCAACACGCGTAGCAATTGGGAATTGTAGTAGACCGTTTCCGCAGCCCGCTAAGCACCCGGATGGCGCTCCGTAATTCGCCACAAGACCTTGAACTATGCAGACAAGACTGGCGGCACGCATGCGCAGCTGCGGCGTTTTCTTCACGGATACTGTAGCGGAGGAAAAAACGGTCTACTACAATTCCCTAATATCACTGATACATGTTGCAAAAGATTTCTGGGACAACAAGAAAGAGGTCGCTTTAGCTATTGGGGAGGAGATCAGACCGTGGCGCCCCAAGCGGTTAACTTTAGAACTGCATGAATGGGGACAACGAATACAGTGACTCTGCACTCGGCTGACATAACCGAACGCGGTGTCAGCGTTCGGCTGGAGTTCGTGTTCTCCGGTGAGGGGAGGAGGGACTCTTTTGTTACCACTCTAGCCTGCATGAACAATGCAGCATGCACGGTGCCCAGCTCAGCACAAAAGCCCTCAAGCTCGCATCCTTTTACTACTGCTTTCGGGAGCGTAACCATAGATGTGTTGCCCCCACACCGAGGTGTGGGGGAAACAAACGAGACAGAGCGCCTCGCCAATTGTGACATCGCTGAATATCACGTCCTGCGGCGCACCTTAGACGCACCGTTTATCTGCAATCCACATTCCCTATATGGGGAGTTTACTGTAAACAAACTAGGGATACGGATATGACTGAATGGATAACAAAGAGAACCCAGATAATAGCCACGGCAGTGGTGGCACCTTCTTTAAAGGGGCCCTCCGGAGCGTTCTCGTAGATTGAGTTACCGTTGAGCGGTAACTCAATCTACGGGTCCTAAGGATCCTAAAAATCGTAAAATTACGGTCATGCGCGGCGGATTTCCCTATTAAAATTGCTATCAAAGTCCCCGGCACGCCCCCCTTTCTGAGATGACCCCGGAAAACGGGAGGGGCATCTCTTTACGCATCAGCCAATGGCAATCGAAGGATTCCAGTGTCACTGCACGTCACCGACCGCCGACCACGGTTGCGAGGTTGGGCTATAAATAGCCAAATTGGGCTAGTTTTATTTGCAGTTGGCGGGAGAAAATGGTAGTTGGCTATTTGGCTAGTATTGGGCTATTTCTGACCTGTGCATTGGGCTATTTCTGACCTGTGCATTGGGCAATTTCTGACCTGTGCTGGAACCAAAATGCCTGAAAGCACTTGGGTTTATAGGTTCAAATGTGTTTTTTAGAGTAGATAGATAGTCTTTATTCGACCCTGGAGAGTCGCAGCACCACAGAAAGGCCATTGGCCTGTACCTGAGGCCTGTGGTGCCGCAGTATAACAGGAACTTAACACAACAGTAACCAGGACATTAACGGTAATTAATGTTTAACACAAAGATTATATGGGATTATTATTATAATGCAATTAAATGCAAAGGGGCAAGCGAGCTGGATAATAAGGATGAAAATAAAAACCCGGACCAGGCGGATTTTTTCGGTCGCTCACCAGTCACCTAGCTGTGTTTGGAGATTTATGTTTGTCCCTTGTCCCTCTTGTTCCCCTTCTCCAGGGATTATTTTCATCATTATATGGGATGGTGCGTGTCAGTCCGAAAAGGAGGTGTCCGTCACTGCCGGAGGAAGTCTTACGCCTCCTTGCACCAGGCTTTTATGTCCCCTTTCTCTTCAGGGCCGTTCTGTAGCTTAACCCTGATAAGTATGCGACAGCAAAGAAATTTGTCTTCTTTTGGCGCGCCTTGTGCAATTGTTTACCTCCGAATTTTGTCCGAATGCAAGCATGTGTTGTTATTCCTCCATCTCAACAAGTGACGGCGCGATTCCTTGCGGCCTTAACAGCACCTGTCCTGCGCATTCTTTAGGCTGTCTGTTGATTGGCTTGCACCCATGACGTCATTCTGGTCATCATGCCCGGATAGTAGCGTCCCAATACAGTGGAAGGTATGTTGTCATTAGGGGTGTCGCGAACCGGCCGAGGTTCGAGTTCGACCAGGTTCGACTTTTTCGAACTGTTAGTGGAAAGTTCGTCGACCTTGTATTGGGGTTCGACTCGTGTGCGCATGCGCGGCAGGCTGGCCAGTTGGCTTCGGATTGGATGGTAATGGCTAAGGAATGAATTAAGGGCAGCTCTGATCGGTTATTTCAGTTAATACAGTACAAACAATTAAGTTATCAACTTATTCAGTGATTAGAATTAGTTGCTTTTAATTGCAACTGTTGATAAAATTGAAATAACTTTTTGCATAAAAAAAAATTCTCCAAACCTAGGCCTGGTTGCATCGAGGTCTGGCCACACTGCCCACAAAGTCGAACCGGTCGAATCTGGCTAAAAGTTCGAAAGTTCGTCGAACCGGTTCGACCCAGTCGAACCCCGAAAGTTCGACCTAAAACTCCGGTTCAACAAAAGTTCGCGACACCCCTAGCTCTGACCAGTAGTATGGTGCCTGGATCGCGTCTTTGACTGGTGTGTTTACCGCGGCCAAAAAAGTGGTCCCTCGATTTCCGCCTGATGACGTCATAAAAGTGTCATGCTGTCGCCGGTCGCGACCCTGGTGGCGTCTCAACAGTTATGGTGTATGTAGCAGATGCCTGTTCTGCTGCAGGTCGCTTTCCACTGTGACAGTTCACGGAATCTTGTGCAGCCGGAAGTTGGGACGCCTAAAGGGACGCCGTGACGACAGCGACACTCGCGTTCGCTCGTGCTTTTTGTCAGCATTTCTACGGCCAACCGCCAGGATCGCGACAGGCAACAGCATGACACTCGCGTCATTTGTTGCCACATCGGGACCACTTTTGATGTATGGGCGGGATAGGACGCTAAACACACCAGTCGAAGACGCGCTCCAGGCACCATACCAGTAGTAAGCCCAGGACCAAAGACGTCACATTTTGCGCGCTTTCGGTACCGCGGGTCGCCCTCGTCGGTGGAGGGGGGGGATAAAAATGTATGATGTGTCTTTTCTGCTCAAAATAAACGTTTCAAATGATAAGTTTGTTTGTTTGTTTTTTTGGCGATTTTTGGGCTATTCTTCTGGATCGACATTTGGCTATTTTTGGGCTATATCTCGTAGACGTTTGGCGGGTTGGAGTTCAAACACCTGGCAACCCTGCCGCCGACCCGCGGAGGAATCTCTTCAACACGCGGACACGCGCGGACCGTCGTCAAGGGGCCCGGACCAAAGTTGCCCGGACTTTGTGCTCAGCATTCGTCGTTCGTCGCACCGCTGGCACCGCACAGTCGCATCGCACGGTCGCGCTATGGACCTTTCGGACCTAACGTCTCTAGAGCTCGAAATCCTGGAACGGACAGCGGACATGGGTGCCATATCCTATGATTCGACCCCGATGCGCGACGTCGACGAACGCAGCGCCGCGGGCACCGACTGTGGCAACGACGAACGGCCGCGCCGCGGTGAAGCGAGTCCGCAAGAGCTGGAAGACGCACCCGACGATGGAACCGGGCGGCTTGGGAACACGGACTGGTACGTGGTGCGCTCCATTATACCCCGCTTTAATGGGTAATTGATGCGTGTTTTCTGCGAATGTGTCTATGTGGTTCCTGCGCGCCAATGGAGACCGTCGTCGAGTGCGTCTGCAACCGCGATTACTTGGCCGTCGCACGGAAGCAGCAGGGCCGGCAGGGCTGCGTAACGGGCCACCCGGACTTCGAGGCCCTGTGCCTCAACCCTGAGGTGTTGAGGTTGGCCTACCTCAACATGCGGCACTACGGGCAGCAAGGGATGGGCGCAAGTGCCAGCGAGTGAGTACGATGTCATGCTTTGCGCGTGAGCAAACTCACCATGTCTCGGTGAGGACCGTGCCCTCGGCAACTACGTTCACTGTCCGATTCACAGCGTACATACGTACTTGTAATAACTTGTTGTTAGGCTAGATGAACGTTTAGCACCCTCCTGGGAAGCGGTCGATGAATTGTTTGTGTTGCCAATTGTGAAATTAATCATAACCCCCACTGTCCAGGCGCAATATAGCGCTCCAGGGAGGCTTTCAAGAGACTAAATGAGAAGCAGCCTGCCTATTTACCACCCAGTCATTTGTTCAATACAGAAACACGAACACTTCCAACTGCTGTCCCACTGTAAACTACACATATTCTTATATGTTCTAAACGAACTGTTCTGATGACATCGTCCTCTTCGAGCGTTACACTTCTTCCTGTTAGGCCAGATCATGGAGAGCTATTTTTTCTTGCATTTGCGGTTATCAGTTTAGATATGTCATTTTCTTGCTCTGTTTAGATGCAATGTTACGCAACAATAGCACTATGAAATATATGACACTCACTAGGCCTCGTCCCTTGTCGAGACGGCCTCGCCTCGTCGAGAGCAATAGAAGGCGACACCTCAGATGTACATATGCTTTGGCATTGTCCCCATGCCCAATGCTCCCTTACCTCCCTCTTTTTCACCCTTCTCGACCCTCTGACTAGGCAGGCTGGCTCGCCCTCCCCCCCCCCCCCCCCCTCCCCAGCTTCAACTCGTTGATACACTACTGCTCCTACTGGTACAGCATGTCCATACTGTGCCGGGTGAGCACTGGTGGCCCCAATCAAGCACCGGACTATGGTGTAACTAATAAAGGTTCCCTCTCTCTCCCTTTCTCTGTCTCTCGAGAGAGCAGTGGATATCCCACACGTTTGGCTCTGGCGCAAACGACAAAGATAACGCAGTCCGTGTCAGAAACCCAAGTCTGGCTCGCAGCTTGCTCAAATGGTGTCTCTGAACAGAGCCGAATTAGCGCCTGAAGCCCCTCTACAAGCTCGCAGAGAGCAGGTGGCCGCAAAGGCTTGAAAGTCCTACTTTGTCAACGAGAGGCGAAGATTAACTCACTCCCGAGATTGTATTCGTCTCATGCAGTTTCCTTGCTTTTCTGTCTTAGCATAACTCAACAAAGGGTGAAAGCTACTGCCCTTCTGGGCCAGTCTGAGCGACGGAGCTAAGCACGTGCCAAGATTCCGCAGGAGGAGTACACTAAGACATTACGTTGTCACATGCATTGTTCTTACACGCCCCGATTGGCTTGCTGATGCCGTAGCTTTTGCATTTTCCCAAGTTCGGAAAAACAAAGAAGTACTGTTTCCAGATTCTTTCCTGCTAGGTTCATGGACTGGACCAGCACTATACTATAGAACAACACTTTCAAAGCAAAAAATAAATAAGCACGAAGTTATGATATTGACGCAGTAATTCGCAACCGTGTTGGGGAAGGATGCTCCAGTCACTTTGTTTCTCAGAGCTAAGAGTTCAGAAAACTGCATACACCTACTTTATCTTGCGTGCATCAATGCCTTGTCGCTCTCTTAAAAATGAGCTTAGCTATGCCAGCTAAGTTGATGCTGGGCAATCTTTTTGAGAAGAAACAAACACCAACTGCTTCAAGTGAACTGTCAACGTCGAGAGTACAGTTGGCACCTTCAGCTCAGACATCCTCGTCCTTTTACCTGGTCTAGTCTCTGCGTGTGACCTTCAAGCCCATCAAAACAGGGGCCGATATCAAAATGACGAAAATCAAAATGTAAAGGCCAAACATTGAAACGTCGAAAAATAAAATGCCGATCAGCAAATCGCCGAAAGGTGAGAATGCGTACATATCTGGTCGCCATATTTGGTACGGTATTGGCAGATGCTAGCTGCACCAGTGTGTTGGAATCATGGAAGTGTCTTCCGCCAAATTAGGAGCATGAAAAATGTGCAAGCTGCGCTCGAAGACGACATCGAGGCAGAAATCAGATTAGAACCTCGCCATCTACCACACAAGAAGCAAAGCATGCGAGAAGAGAGCTTGACAGCCGCTTTGGGCAACTGGGACAAGCTCAACATCCTTAGCCTTCTTTGGGAAATACGCACAAACTATCAGATCATATTCAACAAACAAAGAATTCCTCAGGCAGAACAAATGTTTCTTCCACTTTCTCAATCTAGAACCCTGTAGGTTCGTGTCGAACATAATATTTTGGAATTGTTTGGTCTCTGGTACCGGGTGATTCGGCTAATTGAGATTTCGGCGGTTTGTTCTTTCAGCATTTTTTATTTTCGGCATTTTGATAACGCATCCTTTAAATTTTTGGGTGTCCCAAGCGAGTGCAATGTTCTCTGGTCAAAACAATCAAAAACTTGAGAACGATGACATAGGCACAGATTGCTGTTGAGTCCATGGATGCCACTACGTCTTTCCTCTAGAAGGCAAGTGGAGACTTATATTCCAACCCTATCGGCAAAAGTCATATTCTTTACTCCAGTATCCAAATTGTCAGAAGGGGCTTGAGACGGTGTTTGCATGCTTTTTGGTCAAGAAACTACACAAAAAGGCAGTCATTGAAGGCTCATTGCTCTGGTTCGTGCACCGTTGACAATGCAATGGCAATGGGAACTAGAAACCTTCCATTCGCCCAGTGATGCAAAGTATCCCCCCTCCCCCCCCCCCCCCCCACACAAACGCCAGCAATGTAAAACACCCCCCTGAAACAAATGTCTGGCTATGCCACTGCAGGCCATGCACTCCAAAAAATAAAAAAAATTTCCTCCTTCCCATACTATAATTGTCAAGGCAGTGCAGCCATATGGGGGGGCGTACCATACTGATTTACGATTTATTTTTCCGCAGATATTGTCCACTTAGGGGTCGGTAGGTGTGTCGACCTCCTCAACGTAGTCCCCCTAGAGACGAACGCAGTGGTTCCAGTGGTGTGGCAGCCTTTCCGTTCCGTTCCGGGACCACTCTTTGGGAGTGCTTCGCACCCACGCCTGGACAGCCGCTTCGAGTTCACCAGTGTCCATGAAATAGGGTCCTCATAGGTGGTTTTTTCATGGTGCTGAATGGCTGATGGTCACTGCGGGCTAGGCCGAGGGAGTACAGTGAATGTAGGGATGGGCATTATCATGCTCCAAGAGCGTACCTGCCGCCCCTTTCCCTGGCAGCTTCTCGTGAATCGCGCAATCACCTGAGGGTAGCCACATACGGGGCGATGTTGATGGTGGTGGCCGGTTACATGCAGTCAATGAGCATAATGCCCTCCGTATTCAGAAAGCCACGTGAGGATGTCTTTGCGGACATTGATGACTCGGAGCCATCTGTCCAGGCGTGGGTGAGACACACTTATAAACAGTGCAGTGATGTGATTGCTGCGCCAATTGCGCCAAACTACACCAAGGGGCTAACTTTGCTACATCCTGCTACATTTCACCAAAATATGGCTAATCTGTGCCAAGCCTGCGCCAAAGAAGCAATTTTGGTCGCCTTTCAAAAACGAAACGAAACTGAGAACCGTAATTGAGCATGCGTAAGCTAGGTCGCACAAGACGCCACCCGACGCAAAGTACCCTGTATTAATCGTCTGTTTGGTCTTGCATGATTTTTCCCGACGTCTCGCGTTTCGTGCACTCGTCGTCTCAGGAATCTCGTCTCGCGTCTTTTTTTTTTTTTTTTTAGCGGTAGATGCGGGCGTGTGCGGACTCTCAGACGTTAGTGTATCGGGTGCCAAACATGCCGTCATGCTGTGAGACAAAACCACGTTTTTGCGCGGCGGGACTTACTTTTTGAGCTGAAGCGCTCGCGCGACGTCGTGTGTTGCCGTCCCCACGTCGCTGCAGATATGGCGCTTACTAAACTGAAACGCATCGACATTCCTGCTCTTGTTTAAATCATACGCTGCTATAAAAATCCCTCTCTAACTCAATGACTGCTTGGCGAAGTTTTGATTACTTAGGTTTTTCCTGGTGGGCTTTCTTTCGAAAGGGACCCCGGTACGTGAAAAATCTGCCGTGAAAGAAAGTTGGTGAAGAGAAGTGAGCTAAAGAAAAGAAGGCAATGTCTGCACGCTGAACCCGCAAAGCGTGCTTGTTTGTCTCGAGTTCAGTCGTTGCACGAAGCGCTCCAAGAACTTTTTTGACCTTGATTCGCAGTGTCTTGCATCAATACGCTCAGGTTATTTTTTTCTGTGTGTTTAGCCTGTACCTCGCCTGCCGGCCTGGCAAGCACGAGTCGCTGGACTGTTTATTGTCGTATGCTGGACAGTTACATTTTGCATACTATTTTGGGAACCAAGCAGTTGGCGACGGAGCGCGGTGTGGCATGGTTTCGGTCAAACAGCCGTTGTCTCCGCCCGCGCGACGAAGCACGTGTAACTGCAAGCCTGCCGAAGTTGCCCTTACGTGCATGTGAACATGATTGCAACAAAGGCACCAGCCGGGACGCTTGCAATGCGTTGTTTTACGTTTGCTTACTTTTTTTTATAAAAATCTGCCACGTCAAGAATTTTGGCGGTGCCAGAAGAGTCCATGTGCGTATGGCAGCTGCCTAATTTGTTGTGCCAAGAGCTGCACAATAGTTTCTGCTCACTTGATTGTCACAAGGTGGGACGCCACGACAACAGCCACACTTGCATCTGCTCGTTTTCTCTGTCGTAACTTTGCCGTCATCTGACAGCATGACACTTTGGCTCCCGTAACATATTTTGTTGCCACTTTGGGACGGCTTTTGATCCATGGGAGGTATAGGGCAGTAAACACCCTAGTCAGAGACACGTCAAGGCGTCCTGCCCTCCAATCCTTCCTAGCTGCGATCCCTCAATCCCCAGATCTAGTTGAAAAGCCAAAATCTCAAGGTGGGGTGATAATTATTGGGTGTCTGGGTCTTGATTTACACTATTTTTGAATGCAGATGCCAGACACCCTGAAGCCGGTGGATGATCATCTCGACATGTTCCTTGTGGTGCCAGCAACACTTGCACCGCTGGTGTGGCATTTTTTGCACGCTATGCTGGGATAGTTTTTTAGGAGTGCCATGTCTGGACATCTTATTCAGAAGCAGGCTGTCGTCGTCGAGATCCATGCTTTTTTTTTAACAGATGATGTTGCAGTGCCCACATAGGTGAGTATGACAGAAAGGATTCGAGATTGGAATAGGTCACCAAACAGTATCGCATCATTTTTCGTTAAAATATTTTTCTAACAACACTATTCATTGAAATAAACACTGAAATTCAAAGTTTCTCGCGCAAGAATGGGGCGGCCTGGGGGGGGGGGGGCTCATATGTATCCCCACTACTCTGATGATAGTAGTGTCACCTCTAAATCAACACAGCATAATGGAAGACATATCGCAGTCTAAAATGGGAAAAAATGTTGATATATGTGTCTTGCAGATGCGTATATGACCAAATAGCAAATGATTGCGGTGCCCCGAGCCCTAAGGTATTCAGGACCAGTAAACACATGGGGGTGGTAGCAGTTGTCATGGCAAATGGGAGCTGTCAGAATGACATGTTCAGATATTGACACGGATTGTGTCGGAGAGACATGAAATCACAACTGCTGGAGCCACTCCAGTATTGCATGAGCACTTCAGCTCGTATGTTTACACCAAAACTGTTTTTTGCGAGCTTCATAGAACACTCATGGCCAGGCTGCTATTCTCAAATCCCTAATCACCAGTACCAATGCCAAGCTTCGGCAGTGCCAGCAGCACTTTAGACAATGTTAAATTGGGACGTTCTCTGATGAGTTCATATTCCCTGGCACTTGTGTGCAGGAAACCTTTGCAGTAGGTGTGTGCGAATGTTGGTTCAAATCGAATAGTATGTTTGCCATAACCTTCGCGCTGCAAAGGGAAGCCGATGCAACCGGCTCTTTTTGCGCTGTTGATGCTAGAAACGACAGTGCACTATTTAATTCGAGCCAATATCTGCACACCACTACTTCACAGGCTTACGAACTGCACTGTTTTGTCCCAAATTAAACAACATCATATGGGGAGCTTCCACTGTTCTGGATGAACGGCTCCCATTCCCTCTGGCCAGTGCACATAATTTTCATCTGTCCTTCCCAAAACACAGCGATGCAATATTCGTCACCAACACCAATGAATCTCGAATCTAGGCCGATAGTTTTTCCAAAAAAATTAAATCCGAAACTCGGGGGTCGGCCTAGATACGAGGATCCGGCTCCGCAACGACCGCGGGACGCCATCTTGTCTACATCGCTTCGGGAAGATACGCTGTGTACCACGGAACGCACGGAACGTTCGTCTCTACTCGACGCTATGGCATCGACCAGTCGATGCCACTACTCTGCGGCTTTTAAGAGGAAAATTGTCTTGGCTGCTGAACACTCGTCCAACCTGCAAGCCCAGCGTGACTTCAGCGTGGGCGAAAAAAATGTGCGTCGCTGGAGAAAGCAGCGTGGTCAGCTCTTTGCATGTGCGGCAACAAGAATGGCGTTCTTAGGAACGCGGAAGCGAAGGCACCACGAGCTGGATCGCGGCCGCATGGGACGACATGCCGGCGGAACCGGTAGTAAAGTCGTTCCGAAAGCGTTGCATCTCGAATGCCCTGGGCGGTACGGATGACCACGCGTTGTGGGAAGTGGACAGTGACAAAGGTACCAGTGAGGACGACGAATGATCAGGAAAAACGCGGACATTAACCGTGAGCATACCGTCGGATTCGTGACCGAAATAGTGCTGTACATTGCAGATAAATTCCGTTCTGTGTTTAATTTATGGTGTTTTTCCTATACGTTTTGGTCGGCCTAGAATCGAGAATTTTTTTTTTTTATTTTTCGGCCCTGCCGTTTTCGCGGGGTCGGCCTAGAATCGATGCCGGCTTAGAATCGAGTAAATACGGTATCTACAATTATGAACTGGGACCCTGTGAACTTATTTTATGTATCATGACCACGCAACAGATATTCCTTCCTTGTTAATTCCGGTGTATAACTGGTTGTTGTGTCGATTGGGGTTGGAGGTGCGTTTGGAAAACCAAGGCCTATAGTTTTTTTTTTTTTTTAGCTCTGGAGCATTTAGAATGAATCTACAGCAGTTCACTTCAATTTGGCTTCGATGTCTAGCCCATCCGACATGAACTGCCAAATAGGGATTCTGCTATGTGATAGCTGGAGTGGACGTAACAGAAAAGCAGAGTATGATTACATGCCTAGAGAAATGGAAACAAGTGTAGAATTTGCCAGCAGAGTGATAGGCTTTGCTTCTTACTTCCAATCTCTGTCATTGTTCCAGGCACTACAGATTTGCAGCCTACAGGCAGTGTGCCCTGTGGCTGTGGAGCCGCTTGGGAAAGAAGAATAGGCGGCCTGTGTGGTCAAGACAATTAGGGGCAGGTACCCTGCTGACGTGTATGCGGGCTACAGGGATGCAGAATAAATTGCGTTGACCTAGAGACCACGCAACCCCCTTCCCTTGTCTCTTCACCCTCCCTGCATGTGTGTGAAGTCACTCGTAGCCATGAACAGAATCCTCTAAATCATGTGACCTATTATCTACGATATCACATGACCATAACTATGATCACATGATCGTAGTCAAACCAAAGCCAGTGCACCTACGTCGCATTCAGTCACACGACGAAGCCGCCTCGGTGGCTCCGAGGCGAGAGTGCCGGCCTACGGATCCCCATGTGGCGGGTTCGAATCCCGGCCGAGATGTCTGCAATGTGATGGAGGTTTATTGCGGAGAAGGCACCTTGTAATCGAGCTTTCGATTGCACGTCAAAAGATCCCCAGGTGGTCGAAATTAATCCTCGGTCCTCCGCTGGGGCGTGCCAGATGCCCGTCGTCGGTTTGGCACGTAAAACCCCCAAATTTGATTTGAGTCGCACGACCGGATTGCTTCATTTTCCTCCTAGAATCCAAAGGCTGTCATCAAAACTACTAGGGCGTGAGAAGTGCTCATTTGGAACACTAACCTAAGCAGTAAAATTTGGCACCCACTAATACCATTTTAAAGTAAAGATAGAAAAAGCACCGACGTCATGCTCGCACTAACAGTGTTGCGCAGTGTACTTCTACTTTCTTCTGGATCTGTTCTTTCAAATGGGGAAATGCATATAACCTGGAAAAATCTGACTGCATGAAGCTACAAGATGCTTCCCTACATCAGCCGTCTGAGCGTGCCGGTGCGATGAGGCGAAGAAAAGCGAATTGCGATTGCTGCAGTTTTCAGAGGGGCGTGGTCGATTGTTCCGAGGGTCTGGATGACGACGTGGCTAACATGTCAAACAAATGACGTTCTGCTTGGGTGACTATAGTCGGTGACAGGTCAAGAACAAAGTGGAAGCTCCTCCCACACCTTTCCACTTCAGTGCAGCGAACGACGGAGAGGAGGTCGCCTCCTCTCCAGCATTCGCTCTACTAAAGTGGAAAGAGGTGGGAGGAGCTTCCACTTCGTTCTTGACCTGTCACCGACTATAGGCATGCTGTAAATTATTTTACTTTTTTATTTAGAATTCATTGCCAACCTAGATTTGATTACTGTACTCTCAACATGTGCTCTAGTATAGACTTTTCCAGTCCAAGCCTTCTGCGAAATCCTTTTTTTACTTGGCTGCGGAATGCTTTTTGAGCATGCACAATAGATCCCCTGCATGGAATATTCTATGCCTCCACAGCCCAGTTGCCCTGGATTTTTCGTCAAGGTGATAAATAGGATCTGCTTATATATTTCAGTGAAAACTACGATTGTTGGTTTATATTGTCGTTATAATTGGCAAGTATACCCTCACATCATGCAAATACTTTGAGGAAATGGCACAATTTCGGTCGGGTTTTTAGTTAGGCATAGTGCAGTATTCTAGTTACATCGACCCATGTATTGACCTTACAATGCAGAAATCATCCAGGGGATCACAAAATTAGTACTACCATCGGCATCACTTGTTTTCAATTATGAGATTATTTCCTTTTGGTCATGCAAATTTCTACACCTTCCAGGTTCTGGTACCGAGAAGTCAAGTTGTTGGAAAATTAATTCAGTTTATTTCAATCGTAAGGTTAGCGAATGTGCCTTACTTATTTGCAAGCAGGTCAATAATGACAGAAGACAAATGTTACAGACGGGGGAAAACCGTGGTGTAGACTGGAAAATGCAGCACTGTTTTTAAATCGCCATAAAAAACTTCTGTTAATATTTCCAGTGTTATATGCAACCACCCCACTTATGTTATTGCTGCCTTACCAGCCTACCTCCTGGATGAAAACCCCATTTATTGGAAACAAGGGCGGGCTGCCCCGCCTCGGTGCAGTCTCCTCAGCATGTCCGCTCATCAGCACATGAAAAGAAAGATGGATAAGGCATTGTGTTACAGTCTTCGGAAAAGTGTCGGTTGGGTTCCGAAAATGCTTCAATTTTCTAAAACTGCTGCGATGGGCTAAGCTTGTGAACTGGGGATGGGATCTCTGGTGCAGAACTACATGCTATTCAAAATAGCACTTGATCCGCCTTCATTGTAGTGTGCCCACAATGTATATGGCAATGCGGTCACCGATTTCCTCGATCTTGAAAGCTTGCACAAATTATAGCTAGGATCCTGCGCGTTCTTGAATTTAATTTGTTAGCAAAATTAAAGGGTGTTGTTGTTTTTTTTTTTTTTTTTTTTTTTTAGTACGCAAAGTTCGGAGTCTTTCGGCATTTTCGATGAGGCAAATGAAAGGTAGAAAACAGCAGTTTGTGAATTTAGTAAAGCAGTATTTTCATATGAGAGCCGTATTCTTCTGTCGTAGAGGGCCTACCTCATTTTTATTATAAGGGGCTACACGGCAACGGAAGTTGACACAGCAGTAAGAGGAGAATTGCAAAAATTGTTCGAAGATTCCGGGAAATATAAAGACTGGTGGGGCCTATAACAGCTGGCAGACCGAAAAATTGAGTTTTTCGAATGAATCTGAATCAGCAAAATTTTAACGGCTAGTGTTTTTTAGAGTTTTTCAGGTTTATCTGAGAACGCAGAACCCTAATTACAGCTAATGGACTGGGAAGAATTATAGCACTGGCCTGTCCTCATCTCGTAATACCTCTACTGTTGGCACTGATGTGCCAACAATAGAGGTGCACCATGCTGGGCTTGAGAAATCCGGCTTGAGAGGGCAGGTGCCAATGCTTGCATCTCTCCATTACGCTTGATCGTGGCCCTAAAATCAAGCATTATCAATAGAAGAGATCTGCATTTCTGTGAAAAATGATTGCAGACAGATCTAATGTCCTCCTTACTGTCGGTCAGGGTGTCCTAATGGAAAACGATGATCCATTTTGCAGCTCGGCTGTTTTCTCTTGGGTCTGTCTGCTTGCATTCGCCGTACGTCCTGCAAAACAAAGCGGTTGCCTACCATGGTAGTTTTCATTAGGACGAGGCTCCTGTGTGCTTACCACTGGCAGCATGAAAGATCCAACCAGGTCTTTGCTGCCTGCTGCTGTCCACCTCGTTGAGAGGCTTTCCATCCTACAGTGAAAATTCAGACTGTTGCATAATTACATTCCTAGACATTCCAAGTTGGGCTAGATGGGCGTTCACACTGAAGTTAGTGTCGTCCTCACCGCAAGTTGAGCTGTAGCCTTGAATCTCGCTGTTTTGTGACTTTTCTGTGACTCCGACATTGCCACCGGCTAAAGTTACTTGCCCTCTTTTGAGATAGGCATGCCATGACCAGCTTGATTAGGCTCTAAAATGGAACATTCTCATGAGGAGAGATCTGTATTTCTGTGAAAAATGATTGCGGACAGATCTAATGTCCTCCTTACTGTCGGTCAGGGTGTCCTAACGGAAAATGGTGATCCATTTTGTAGCTCGGCTGTTTTCTCTTGGGTCTGTCTGCTTGCATTCGCCGTACGTACTGCAAAACAAAGCGGTTGCCTACCATGGTAGTTTTCATTAGGACGAGGCTCCTGTGTGCTTACCACTGGCAGCATGAAAGATCCAACCAGGTCTTTGCTGCCTGCTGCTGTCCGCCTCGTTGACAGACTTTCCAACCTACAGTGACAATTCAGACGGTTGCATAATTACATTCCTAGACATTCCAAGTTGGGCTAGATGGGCGTTCACACTGAAGTTAGTGTCGTCCGCACCGCAAGTTGAGCTGTAGCCTTGAGTCTCGCTGTTTGGTGACTTTTCTGTGACTCCGACATTGCCACCGGCTAAAGTTCCTTGCCCTCTTTTGAGATAGGCATGCCATGACCAGCTTGATTAGGCCCTAAAATGGAACATTCTCATGAGGAGAGATCTGCATTTCTGTGAAAAAATGATTGCGGACAGATCTAACTTCCTCCTTACTGTCGGTCAGGGTGTCCTAATGGAAAATGGTGAACCATTTTGCAGCTCGGCTGTTTTCTCTTGGGTGTGTCTGCTTGCATTCGCCGTACGTCCTGTAAAACAAAGCGGTTGCTTACCATGCAAGGCTGTATTAGGACCAGGGTGTAAGATAGACAGGTGGGGAAACGAGAGCCAAATGAGCGACCAGATTGTGTACCCCTCGGTTTTCTCTTTTTCTGTGGCGCCATCGATGTGGAGCACCGCAAACTCTCACTCCAGCTGGGCGACCGGTGGCGACTGGCTACACTGACGGAGATGGTTTCTCGTGGATTTTCAATAAAGACTGTCGTGCTCTCTGTTTATTTTGCGCACTCTCCCATAAAGTTCCATGCAAATCCGATTCCGATTTTTTTCCTCTCGCCGCAGCGCCATCTGTTGCAAATCGGGGGTACCCGCTAGCAGACGAGTACACAATCCGGTCACGGCGCTGCGGTAGGCTTCTATGGGCCGTTTCCCCACCTGCTTATCTTACACCCTGATTAGGACCAAGGTCCTGTGTGCTTACCTGCGGCAGCATGGAAGTCCCGACCAGGGATTTGATGCCGTTACTGGGGACTCTGGCCGAACCTGGACATTCGTGCTGCCACGAGTTCCTCTTTTGGAGGCCTTGTGTAGGCTGCAGTCATCGGTGCCGGGAAGACGACGGTGTTGGCCTTCGATGCAGCAGCCAGGGACCGCCACTGTTTGCTGCTCTCCATTGCCTCCTTCATGAGCTTTCCAACATACTCTAGAATTCAAACCTTTGCATGATAACATTCCTAGGCTCTCTGGACAAGGCATTCACACTGCAGTTAGTGTTATACTCACTGTAAGTGGGATCCGTAATCTCTGGTCGTGCTGTGTGGTGGCCCTTTCGTGCTTTTGATGTTACGACCGACCAACGTGGCTTGCCCTCTCGTGTGACGGCTTGGCAGCGGTTTGAGTTTTCGTTGAAATGGAGGATTGCAAGTCGAGTCCTTCAATATGGTTACATTTCAGTGATGGTAAAGTGTGCCACTTACAAAGAGTGGTTATTCTGGCATCAATCCAATTCCATTATCTGATCATTAGCAAGAGACTGTCAGGTTTGTCGCATTGTAACCAATGGACTGGATGAAAGTGTCCAAACGAAGGAAATGTGATTGTAAATTGGTTGACTTACTTTGCAAGCATGCCTTCTGGGCTGAAAGCCTGGGACTTCGGGGCGAAGTCTATCAGGACGCTGTGGAACGCCTCCAAAGCATATGTCTGGCCATGTGGAGACATCTGTGCAAGGTCCTTCAGGAGCAGTTTGTTGCCAGTGATGCTCTTGAATTGGTTGTAGGCCTGCGAGTCTGAGGATGATACATGTTTTAGAAAAACCACCTTCATTTGGAAGAACAAAAACATACTGGGATCCATCCATGGTCGTGTTGGCTCTGGCATGTCACCATGGAGGCACCTTCCATAGGTTCCTTCGTGCCCCGAGTGTTTGTTGATGACATGGTTGTGCATGCTGAGCCAGATGTCGATGAGCAGTTTCTCATCGCCTCCTGCAGCCCTTGCTGACCAGTACATATGGTTTGTAGCTGTCTGGATCCAGATTTGCAGGTCTTGGCATCCAGCCCGTTTGCTTGCTGCTGTCAGCTTCTTTTTCACGCCTAAAATTCAGAGTCGTGTCAGGGAAACCTGCAGCGTGATCGCTGGAAAATAAAAGCTACACAAATGGCCTGTTAGGATTGCTTACTTTTGGCGATGTGCCATATGTCAAGGAAGTGGTCAATCCCGGGTTCGTGCGTCTTCATGTGCTTTCCTGTGGCAGGGTGACGGTCAGTCACCAACGATCGGATCTTGATACCTGCACCATTAGGTTTCCGAAGATAGCAAATGAATAAGTGATTATGCCAATTTGAACAGAGTGCCTGAAAGGCCGTCGAGTAGTGATATACACGAACTATGCATGAACATACCTTTCTCCTTGAAGAACTGCAGCTGCTTGAGGACCCTCCTTCTCCATGTTGACACTGGCCATGGCCTGTTCAGACTAAAAAAAGGTGTGAAATGAATATTTTACCAAAATAGTGCATAGCAGTGAAGTAACTGATGACATAACACAAGAGAAAGATTATGAGATTGTTGCAACTGGTTCACGTAAATCTGACTACTTGCCTCTTTTAGCTGGACCTGGACAGAGTGTAGAATCTTGTTGATTTGCTCGACATGGACTGTGTACGTCAGGTACTTGGCACAGAACCCAGGGGAGTCAAATCTACCGTCAGCAGAGATGTCCACCTCTTTGTTCTGCAACTCGTTGAGAAGTTCCTGTTGCTCTTGCAGCCAGACCTGTTCATGCAGATAAATATTGCTTTAGAAAGGCATGGAGCATACTACAATAGTCCCATCTGTTTATGTATGCATAGTGTACTGTTGTAGAATGAATGACTGAGTGAAAGAAAAAGGAAAGCACAATGCAGCCAGTTTGAATGTGACTTAGGTTGTGCTAGGTTGTGATTTGTGTTTTTATGTTTGTGTATTTCATAAAAGAGGCAGCAGGCCGCCCGTTACCTCGAAGATGCCCTACCCATTTCCATTCTAACAACCACCCTCTGTCTCTTGACTCTCACGGGGAACCTGACTCACTCAACCCAATGCCAGACAGGGAACTGCCCCAGGATACTACACATAGCAGAAATAAATTAAAGTATCGTGGATTTAGTAGCCCATGGCACATATGTAACATGATGTATAAAATTATATCTCTTAGCACTATACCATTGAAGTGGCATACTACAAGAATATATTTATTCATTTAACCGAAGTGTGACTGGGGCTCCAGTTTTGTACCTCATTCGAAAATTGGGTATATGGGAAAAAAATGCAGCTGCAGTGTCCCGGAATATTGCTGACCTTGTGGATTGCAGGTAGAGCGAAGGCCTTCCGATGCTCGTAGAAGCTCGAGTCGGAGATGACCTGCACGTTCATGTGGCGTAGCATCCGCAGCGTAGGGGCAATCTTCACTCCAGAGAAGACCAGGTGGCTGGTCAGCAGTATGTTCCCTGCTGGTCTGCCGTTGACGATGGGCTGGCTTTTCCATGTGCGCACGTGCTCCACAGGGCAGATGCTGTAGACTGTGATCAGTGTGCCGGTAGTTTCGATCGTTGTTTGGCACAGTCTTGAGCACTCTTGGCACGTCTTGAAAAGCTCCCTTAGGCAGCTCTCGAACACCAGAAACTGGCGCTCTTCTTCTGGCGGTGGTGGTGGAGCTGATGCACCATGCTCGATTCTGAAATGGGATCATGTGAAGCATTCTTTACAGATTCTATGTGTTTATATGCACAACTTACCTCTCGTAATCCTCGCTGTGAGACGGAGAGTAGGTTGCGTCAGAGTCTGGCATGTTGCTGGGAACAGGAGATGTGCATTCATATGGCACCCCACTGCTACAAGTGGAGAAGGCAGACTCAGGTGGATGCGACTGTGCAGGCACGTCTGCGACAGGGACAGGTGGCACCACTGCAGGGATGTTTGTCTCAGCAGTACAGTCCCTGAGGGTCATTTCTGCCTCACAGGGTGCAGGCAGTCCAGTTGCCGAGGCCTGAGTCTGCAAAGGGCACTGTTTATTACAGATTTCATATTTTTAAGGTTGAAGGGTGCAACGCGAGCACTCCACACAATGCCGTCACCGCGGCAAACATCCATGATGCCTTGTTTTTTAGCTGATGGCAAACATCCACGAATTGTTTTGTAGCCTTTCCATAGCTTAGAATGTCATGCACTCAACCAAAGCTCTCACTGTAATACAAATCTAAGGGATGCCTCACTCTTTATATTTGTTTTTATAACTTACATTACCATCTATATTTTCAGTATCTAGCTCAGCAACAATAAATGTTCATGTCGCGATATGATGTCACATTACATACATATGTAAAGCTGCAGCTTGACATGTATTTACCATCCACTGAGGGAAATGCAACCAACGAGCACTTATAGCCGCAAGTGGGAAACATACAGCAACTGCCATGAGTTCTCAACGTCCAGAAGTGCCACCAAGCAACACAATTATGGCGTGCATTTGCTATGTGCATACAAATTTGCAAACGCGGGTTTGCACGCAATCGTGGGTGCACGATTGTGAGAAGAAAAAAAAAAAGACTGAGTTTGCTCACAAGAGTAGATATAAAAGAAAACCTGCTTGTTAGTGGTCACGGACACTTGGAACTTTGCTAAGCTGATACGAAAGGGTTCCTGTCTGTAAACAAGCTGGGAAAACATTTATTGACTTCGGGTGGGTCAATATCAGAGGGGGTAGTGATGGTGGTACCATTAGAGGCGATTTATGACTGTGTCCTCTTATCTTATTTGTTCGTGTTTTCGTTGTAAAATGAGTTCGATCCTGGTGGTGCATGCTGATAGGGCTCTTCGTTTTCGGGTAAAACCCGATAATACCTAATTTTTCTCCCCCGAATGGTTCTGATGAAAATCGGGTCAAACCCGATTTTTCCCCGAAAAGCAGTGTTGAAATCACCTGACTTGATAGAAAATATGAACCATTCTGGATCTGTTTAAACGGTGTTTCCTTGGTCATCCGTTGATGGTTACAATTTTCTTCGATTTGCGTGACCTCCGCCAAGATTCACTTCAGAGTCGATCAGAAGGTAGAAACATATCCTATGCGTATATAATATATTTTGTTTACTTTTGTTCATGTAAATAACACATTGCACGTATTTGTAATTGATAAAGGAATCCCGAAAAAAAATCCGAATTTCGGAATGGTTTCTGGAAAAACCCGATTTCTTCCCGATTATCGCCCGGAAAAATAGCGCCCGATTTTTACCCCCCGATTTTTGAAAAATATAAAACCCGAAAATGAAGAACCCCATGCACCGCACCAGTCGCGCGATAAGCTCTCGAACCGCTAGTCCGGAACATTAGGCACCACTGATCGACTTGACGAATGCCATGTGGATTCCCATGTTACACAAATGCCTCCTCAGTTCTTGGTTCAGAGTATAGATACCAGAAGCAGCCGCACTGCGCAACGCAGAATGCCATGTTCGTGACACTCCCAAAAATATTTGAGCCATCGAAAAACTCACCACGACTTTTTGGCGCTTTGGGGGAGGATCGTCGGTCTCATCGGCGACGGGAAGCAGAAGCGTCGGCACAGCATCTGATCGAAGACGTGAACGACGCAGGTCGTCCTTTCGGAAAGCAGTCGGCTCGAAATGTTCGGCACCAAAACGGGGAACGAGAGGCAGGTTCTCGATGTCGTGCCCTCGCCCGGCGCAGCGTAACCACGCAGTCCTTCGTGGTTCTTTCTCCGGCAAAGAGAAGAATCGCAAGCCCTTGCAAACGTTCTTCCCAGTTTGATGGCGGCACGTCTTGACGGAACAAACGTTCGGAATTTCAGGGAAATCGCTCACTCAAAGGATAAAAGAAACTACTGCACTACGCAGTCGCATTCCACAGATGACAAGGAAAAGTTTGACTCATTCACGTGGAAGGATCGCAAAGCTGGCTTCGGAGTCGGGATCCACGGGAGGAAGGAACACGTGTGTTGCAAACGCACGCTTGCGCACGCCTCGGGAAGCAGACGACGCGACGCGCCGACGCATCACCCCCTAGCAACAAGCTTCCGGGGAGAAAACATAGTTCGCTGGCTTTGGAACGATAATTGCAAACTATGTTTCCCGCACCACAATCAGTTGACGTTTTTCTCAAACTCTAATTTACAACAAGCTTAAAAAGTATTGCCATAATAACGTTCGCATTCACCGCGAGATTCAGCATTTCCATTGGTCAAGTTTTAGCGATGGCCAGGGAATTGGCGATTGTCTTTCAAGAGAAAATAGTAACGATATATTTTTACTGCCATTTACTTAATAAACGGTTTTGTACTCTAAAACTTTGTATACATATTAACTTGCACCTACTACGCAATATAACAACATAAACAGACGATCGCAGAAAGCTCCGGAGGGCACCTTTAAGTAGGTTGCGTTCAGAAAGGCACGCAACGTTTGTGGACACTTTGTTGGCATTTTGAGTGGTCATCCAGCTTGTAGTTCGTTTCCTGTCCTGTTCTCTGCTTATCAATGTTCGCTTACAGACACTGCTCGCGAGAGCAATTGATGACGGACTGACGACAAAAAGAAATAAACGAAAGAAAACATCGACGCTTTGCCGTAGCAGAGTGAAATATACAAAAAGCAAAACATTTTTTTGTGTGTGTATGTCCACTTTATTTTTTTTTATTTGTTTTTTTCTTGACACTCAATCTGCATCGTTATCGTAGGTTGTTTTCCGGTCTGCGTTGCGTCTCAGTGTGGCTATCTTTACTTCCGTAAAACCACCGCTTTTGTTTGAGCATTTTTTTGGGGGGGAAACTCTAGGAAACAAAAGTCGCCGTTGGGAAGGCGAGGGGAAAACCTTGGTTGAACGAACTTTGGGCTGAAATATGACTCACTATCGGCAAAAAAGCAATGTTTTCACGAGCTCAGTCGAAGTCACCTTAGCTAATCGGAGCTGGCAACAGGATTTGGTTGCTCGAAAGGATGTTCACGTTTGCTCGTGCCACGCCCACGCCACTTTATACAGAAAAACTCGGAAAATGGCGGAATGTCAAAAAATGTATTTCAGATAATGAGTACAAGATACTGAGAAATGTAATTAAGATAGAGTATTAAATACTCTCGATCAAAAGTACTTGCAAGATATATAGACACTTCGAAAGGTATTTTAAATACAGTATCTTGAGTAGAGTATTTGAGATAGGCACAAGTCTGGTTTGGGGGAGTGTTTACGCCTTGGAATGGTGAATTCAACGCGGGAGATGTAGGGTGTGTTTGGGGGAGCGAGTGTACGCATCACTGCCTACAACAAAAATAGATAATGTTTCAACAAGATGCATACGGTGTGCACGCATGTCGGCTCCTTAAACACCTCAAACGTTTATTTACCCTCGAGATGCGCGCTTGGCTGCCTCGTAATCGCGCGTTCCGACCCTGCGTCTTTTCTATGTTCTCCTTTGATTGGCGTGCTCCTCAATGCATTCCTATGCGGTGCTTTTTTTGAGAGCTTGCTCGCCATACGTGCACCAACGTTACAAGATGAGCTCAGTTGCGGAACTGTCCATAGATGCTGCTTGCACGAGCATTACAACCCACCGTTTGGGGGGGGTACGGTTGCTATGGTGACCGCAGCGTATTAAATGGAGTACGTCTGTTTCAAAGCATAGCGTCTAGATGGCGTTTCACCGTACTCTATATAAGACGCCATTTTGAAACTAAAACCTAGATGGAGCTTCAAAAGGTGGAATTTGGACTGAAGGGAGTGACGGGGTAATTCCCTCCGCGGGAATTCCACAACTGAGGAAATCTTGTAACGTTGATAGTCAGTGACCCTTGCTTGGTACCTGGCAAGTACCAAGCAGCCTATTATCGCTCTGCAGAGATTGCTGCATTAGCCGATAACAATGCCCAAGTTCATACCACGAAGTGTGAACATGAACACTACGGCCTGAGTTTTTCAGCTGTCATTGTGTATAAGCTATATGCATCATTAGTCTTCGCAGTCGTTTCTTCAAAATGCAAGCGCGTTGTGCACATGCTGAATTTAAAGCAAAGGATACTAAAGGATGAACGATATTTTCCTTTACGTGCCAGGAGATACACGACCATTCGAAAAGATTTGCTGATTGGCATCGCCTTGACAGCAAGTCTGGGGTCCATCGTGAGCATCAAGGGAAACGACTGCAACGTCTTCTTAGACAGTTACCTGGAAAGGTGCGTATGGGAAATACTTTAATGCTTACGATATTTTCCTCACGAAGCTGCGCGTTTTGGCAGTCAAGTCATACAAGTTAACGTTGAACATTAGAGATTACCGCTCAGATGGTGCCCAAACTATAGAACATGTGACTTCAGAAAAAAGTGGGTAACTGGAATTGAAACTGGCAATCGCTTGTTCGTGCTGTGTCGTGCTCGCCACACCAACATTTTTGACAACGAAATTTTTAAAGCATTCTAGGATAATAAAAGCCTGATTAAACTATTATTAGCTCTAACCCTTGGTCAAAAAAACTGAAAAAAATAGCCCAACACACTGGTGTATGTCATACATTTTCTTTTTTTTTTGCTTTTTTCCTCTTCAACACTTTCTTAGTTTGGGTTGTCAAACCCTGTATCACACTCTCAGTTTTTTGCAACTTTCTATTGTTAATGGCTTTTCTCACACCAATAAAGTGACACTGAATTGTGCTTAGCACGCGTTTAAAAAAGTTCAGCAAACACATGCATTGTGTTCCTCATTGCGATTTTTTATTTATTTTTTGTCCTGGGGGCGGAGAAACAATAAAGAAGTCGGTAAATATTTCGGGTTTCAAGTTCACTACGTGTATGTCCTGCAGTATCATACAAGAAGATGCGCAAATAAATACCAAGTCAGAAGTTGAATATCAGACGAAGTTTTAAAAAATCCGGTGGGACGTTTTTTCTCTCTCCCCCTTCTCTCTTTCTCTATAAATCTCTCTTTCTCTCCCCTTCAGTCAGCTTTTGGGCCTTTTCATCATAAATTCCGCACCACTGGACGGTGGAATAGTTAGTTCTAAAACACGGCAGCCGAATGCTCATGAAAATTTTAACAAAAGAACTCGTCGATTTTCACACATGCGCTCGGCAGTCACTCAGCGCTTCGGCAATAATACGGATTCGTGTTCGGGATTTTCAGTGCAACGACAAAAGCCGCAGAACACTTACAACGTTTTAAGTAGAGTATCTCCTCTGAAAACATTGACCTTATTCATGTGGAATATTGTAAAAGATAACGGTAAACGAACCGGGGGACAGAGCACGTGACTGTTTCTGTTTGCCCGCCATTAGTCCGGGAGGCAAGCGATACTGATTTTTCTCCGGCGTTTTACGTAACCGTCAGCCCGTTAAATCGCGTCTAGCAAGCACTCACACCCATCTGATGCATCATGAACATCAGGCATTAAGCCTTGAGAGTATATATAGAAAAAACAAATAAATATATTTACGTTTATGCTTGATTTTTCTTTTTAACCTCATATTTTAACGGCTGCGATTCCAGGGAAAAGTGTCACTCGGCATCACAAAAGAACCACCATGGCACGAGGCATCATCACCAAAAACCCCACGCATCCCCCTTTAAATTTAACGTTCAGATGATCGTGGCTATTGTAGCAACAACTCAAAGCCAGCCTACGCCATGAACGACGACGACGAAGTTCAGCTGCCTCTGCAGCGCGAGCAATTAAAACAGTTCGAATCCAAACGCTGTCCCAGCTGGTTCGTTTCGTCCCAGCTCCCAACAGATTTGGTGACACGGAATCGAACTCGCTCCTTGAAGGTCTGCTGCTTCATGGCTCATTCCGGCGCGTCCAACGCTCCTGACGGCGACGCCCTCCAGTCAACCTTGGCAGCGGTCCAGAAGTTTCGGCTACCGCCATTTTGGTCGAAAAATCCGACCGTGTGGCTGATGCAGGTCGAGGCCCAGTTCCGTCTCCGGCACATCACCAGTAAGGAGACGCGATACCTGCACACCGTGTCCTCCTTACCAGCTGACGTCGCCGAGGAGCTAGCAGACATTCTCGCCGCTCCGAATCCGGTCGACCCCTTCGACCAACTGAAGGCCGCCATCCTTTACCGCAAGACCGAGTCGGAGCGCATCAGACTTCAACAACCCCTTAACACCGAGGAGCTCGGTGACAGACGCCCATCCCAGCTTCTCCATCGCATGTGTGAGCTGCTGGGAGCCCAGAACCCGGACCCTAACAACGATTTCCTGCGTGAGTTGTTTTTGCAACGACTTCCATCGACCATGGTCCCGATTCTGGCGGCCGCGGAAGACATGTCGCTCGACAAGCTCGCTGAGCTTGCCGACCGTGTCGCCGACAACTCCCGGGCCCCTGGCATCGGCGCTGTCGTTAATAGAACACCCGCAACAACATCAAAAGACTCTAGACTTTCGCGCCTTGAGGACCGTATCGAGGCCCTGAGTCGGCAGCTTGCCACCCTCGCACCCTTATCACGACGTCGCAAACAACGGTCCCACTCCCGCCGGCGACCACGCTCTCACTCACGTTCGGTAGAGCGCACCACCTCCTCCAACAGCGGTCAGGTCGACTCTGACTCGGGCATGTGTTGGTACCCCCGTACCTTCGGCAACGATGCCCGCATGTGCAGCCAACCCTGCTCTTCGGCGGG